CCTTTGATCGAAGATATCTTGGCATCAACCTGACCAAATTCGATAAACTTTTTTTTATTCGAATTCTGGTGATTCTACAATTAAAAGAAAAAAGGTTCATCGAATTTGGTTAGATGGTTGTCGATACATCTTCGATTGAAGTTTAAAAAAATTAGAAATAAAATGATATCAATTCACAAGAATTAATCATAGGGGTCACAAAATTATGCAAACCGCAATAAAATTTGAAATTATCTATAAAATTGGCCAATCAGAACGAAAGCCCTATATGCTCGAATATGGTGGATCGATTTTTTATCGGATATGACAGGTTATCGGTTTTGACAGGATCGGATTTGACAGGGTATACTGTATATCTCATTTTGAATTATTTTATGCATCAATTCTTGAAAAATAATTATATAATATTTACAATCTGTAATTCCACAAAGTACAAAGGTTTTTGCAAACTCCTTTGCCAAATAACACCATAATTCTTAGAGAATTATTGAAAAAAATTTATCATAAATTTTTTTTGAGAACTCTACTAAATTACTATGTCTGCGTACTAATTGAATAAGGTCATTAGACGAAGTAACAGGAAGCGATAAAACAGTATGAATATATGAAAAAATAACGGCATCAATGAAAGTTGGCGATCTACAAAATTACAAAATGTAAGTGCTTTGAATTATTGTGGCTAATTTCACAGTGCATATTACCTTGTACCAAAAAAGTATCCATCCTTTCCTAATGTTACTGAAATTGCTTGCAACGCATCAGCAGCATCTTGATATATCTGTAAATAATGATTGTACGATTAATAACAGCAATGTAAAAACAATAAAATAAAATAAATAAAAAATATAAATATATAAAAATAAAATAAAGCGCATAATGGTAAGATTCTAAACCTCATCTCGGATCAACACGGGCTTCCTGGTCAATATTTCCTTGATTGCTTCATTTTTTGCCTGATACATTATTATTTTATCCAGTGGTTTGGCATAATGTCCACAATACTTTTTATGTGTGTATGGTTCATAAGCGGGATCACACCAAAGAGTGTAAAGCTAAATATTTAATGAGAAAGGATTAGCCACAATTTTGTATGTATAAATCTAAAAGAGTAAACCTTAAAATTAATACCAGTGCATTTCTCAATTTTGTTTCAGCTAGTGCTATAAATGCCTGACATTCTGCTTGATGTCGTTCATCAGTTATTTCACCAATTTGGCCCGTTTTCTTGATAAATTTATAATAATGAGATAACATACAGTAAATAGCCATAGAATATTCGACTACTTACATGATTATCCACGTAATCTTTTAGTCGATCTTCGACAAGAATTTCACAAGGTGGAATTATAAAAACTGGAAGTTTGCCTGCGTCAAATTAAATAAGCAGCAACGCAGCACGCCAAAAGTAAGAACATAACAGAATGATTTTGCGATCAAAATTGAACAATGTATAAACATTCAAATTCTTTCAATAGAGAGTTAGAATGTAAAAGATCACCCAAGTCCGATCATTAGATATTTTTACCTAAGGACGTTTTCAAGCACCTCTCTCATTGAATTCGACTGTGTTACAGTTCTTTAAGATTAATACATGATATCTAATGAACTTAATCAAATGACCTTTTGACAATTCAATCTAGAGATTGACTCTCGCACGATAAACCTGAGCATATATTTCGTATATTATATGACCTCGCGACGAGATGTGAGATGACACCATGCAGAACGAATATTCATTTCGCGCATCATGTGATCAATTCGTGTGAAGATGATATCACATCTCACGCGTGGGCACATCTCTAATTCGATCTTATTATGAAGATTCGAATGATATAAAAACGCCAAATTTATGATCTTTTGGGCCGTTTGTATAACTATCAAGAATATCAATTCTTACCTGACGGAGATATTAATGGCTCATTGGCATTCCTAACATCGAAATCAATTCCGCTAAATTTCAAATAAGCCTTAAGAACAATAGATAATCAATGAAGGGTAATTTAATATATAAAAGAATGAAAATTATTTAATATACCTGCCACTTTAAACATTCTTGGTCAAAAGAAGTTTCTTGAGCTGTCTTCCAACCAGGCCCCCACATGTATAACGTTGGTCCTGAAAGTTCCCGATTTTTGTAAAGAGGCCTATGAATTTTTAGTGGAAAATTGGAAAGGAACTGACGTATATTTTGTTGGATAGGATGACTGCCTAGGTTCTGCTGGTTAGGTGTTGAAGATGCCATCTTAGAAAGTCTATATGCATCTTAGTGAGATCTGATACTTATCAAAATCTGATCATTACCAAATCCAGGGTCAGGAGTTAGGCCGGCATTAAGCAGCCAAATCTCTAATCACATCTTCGGATTCTTTTGTGCTTTTACAGAGGTGACTATATAGAGGTCTGACTGCACTACGCGTCTGCAGGGACGTTATTTGAAATTGGCCCGAGTTAAGCTTAATTTAGGCCAAATTTTGAAATTAAGCCTTGCGCATTATTTCGTGCTCGTGCGGTCACCCATTTTCATAACCTGATGCATGTTTATAGTAAATTTGTCATAGATACAATTTATATATATACATATATATATTCGTTTTAAAAGAATCGAACCTTTTAAAAGTTAACGAAGTGATGTTTATCATGTGATTAATCGGCATTATATGATTGGTGCCTTACTTTCAATCAGATGATCTTTTATACTTAACGTTAAAGTTTACGATCAAAATGTATTGTTGTACGTCGAAATAAAATTCAAGAATAATGTATTTGCATATTTAGTGCATGACTTTTGTATTGATGTTAAGAAAGACGAAAAGAAGGCTTTTGAATATTTATGAAAGCAACTGAGTTAGGAAATCCGAGTCGATAAATGATACTGATCGTTATCATTATGGAATTGATGTAGAAAGAAATTCTCGGAAATAATTGCTTGGGAATGTGCAGTGTTGGTTGTTTTTATAACAATGAATAGGGGTTTATCAAGATTAATGAAAATTTTGAATACCGTAAAAAATGGGTGTTAAAGCAACAATAGGTAATGTTGCTCGATGTTATCGAAACGGTATTGGTACAAAAAGAGATATTCAGAGCGCAAATTATTGATTCAGACAATATAGAAGTTTTTGAAAACTAATAAATCACCAGATCATATCGATCCTGAACTTAAATTATCTTGGATTGATTATGAGTTCAAAGATTTCGAGGAAAAGGGAAAAAGAGGATTTGCAACTGTATATTATGCACAATTGTTCGGCAGAATTAATCATTATATGGTGGGGTGTTGTACTTAAAGTGATTCGTAATTAAACCAAAAATATGCAAGGATTTATCCAGGAATTGAGAAATTACTGTGAAATTGGTTACGAGAATCCTTCATTCTTGAACTGCTTTATAGTGTCAAGAAATTATTATGGTGATTATATTATTGTTATATATTTGGCAATAAAAGGATCAATACGATAAATCTTGTACAAGTATCACAATTGGAATGGAAAGACAAATTGAGTCTCTTGTACTGTATAGCTTTGTATCTCGAGTCGATTCATTCGCAGAACAGAGATTTACATAGCATATATCATGGATAATTTTGTGCTGAATTTTAGTGGGTCAACCGTACACTCAGAAATCGGATATTTACAGTCTTAGGTTATCGTGACAGAGATTTCTATGGTTCACGTCACTTATAGTCATCAAAGAAAATTCATATAAATTCAAATAGTTTCTTGTCTTTTAATTTAAGTGATATTAAAAATATAAACCATAAAAATAGTAAATTCGATGCTGCTCTTTCAGATTTATGGCTTATTTTTTTTTCTGTAATTTGTTATTTTGTAAAGTATTAAAGGTTAAAGTTAATTAATTTCTCAAATTTCGGAATAAATA